ATAAATCACAGCAATAGTACATTCATGTAGTTGTAAACAGCATGATAATATATTAAGTAATCCAAAGTATTCAGAATACGTTACTCTCATTGACTAATGTAACGGAAAACATTACAAAATACATTTTGGGGCCTGTAATCTGCAATCTGTAGTGGAATACATTTAAAAGTAACCTTCCCAACACTGCTCACCAAAAGTAGACAAAATAATACTGGAAAAAAACAGGAGGGTCACAATTAGGCCTCGTATCATCAGTTCAGGCTGCTAGTGCTGCAAAGGCATGCACTGTTTCTGGCTTCCTCTTTGAACACAGTTGTTTCAGTTTCTTAAGTACAGTGGGATATTTGTATCATGGATATGCAGTCGATAAACACTCTGAGTTATGTGAAAGAACGTTTCCAGCACATTTATGAATCTACATCACAGTGAGTTGACCCTTGTATAAACAGAAAAGGGGGTCCAAACAACATGACTGAATATATGTCAAGCTTTTTATCAAAGAAACAAAAAAATGCTTTGTTAAATGTATTTCTTTAAACATATTTTTCCCAGCTGTTTCATAAATAAATTAGGGTATGATCTGCAGTGTTTAGTTAAGTTGAATCTGCCTTGAACTAAGGTTTCCCAGCAGAACTTTGCAAAGAGATAAATGATGTTGTTGACTTCACAAGTCAGTGTGGTGATGCATGCTCGGTAATCCAGGTAAGGATATTCCAGAAGGAGTTTCTGTTATTTGGATCATTGTTTTAGTATTACCACCAGTGTGTTAGAATTCAAAGATGACAGTAAATTTGAGAATGCCCTGCAGTTCAACAGATACAAGAACAAGCAGAACAGAGGGAACAATGTAGGTGACACACTGTAGAAGACAAAGGTATCAAAACAAAGGCATGCTGTTAGGCATGTTTGGAGCACTCGTATGTGCTGAGGAACAGTCTAGCATTTTAGCTCACAAGCTGTGAGATCTGTAAAACATAGCAAAGCAATGTGTGTCCTAATTGTTTTGGCCTTTCACATAGTCAGGTGATGAGTGGGGGTAGCAAACAAATCCCTTTTCCAGATGAACCACAGAGAGAGAAATGGATACAAGTAAACATAACCTGAAAGTAATTCATTGTAAATTCTGTATGTGGTTGGGTTTTACAACGCTAGCTTTGTTTAAATATATATTTTTAAGTGAGGCGTGTTGAAATAAAGGTTTACTAGTCAAATATTTAAGTCATTAAGAACATGACTTTAAATCCTAGAACCACCTTGTTTTTAATGATTATAGCAATAAACATACAAGAAAGAATAAGTGTGTGGATAGCTGATGCTAAATATGTTTAGCTAGGACTTATATATACAGTAAACTTTCCATTGTTGCTGATTCAGCTTTATGATCATTTTGGAGGATGAAGAACATCTCATAAAAAAGCGTGACGTATAATTCCCTCTTGCCCCTCTGGGCTGTCTTTATCCTTCACACTCGGGTCCTGTGCAATTTGTTGTTCTGGACAGAAATCATAACTGTTGTTCCTGGGAACAACAGCTAGCCCCCTCGTCACTCGCCTAGCTTGGGAATTACTGCACCGAGTTCTCTGATTACCACTGGGACCACTTTGCCTTCACCCACCATGTCTTCTTCTTCTTCTCTCTTTTCCTGATATCGCTATCATTCGGTACAGCTGCATCGATCACTACGGCCGTCTTCTTCTGCTTGTCCACCACTATGTCCGATTGGTTAGCCACCACCATTTGTCCGTCTGTATCTGGAAGTCCCACAGGATCTTAGCTCGGTCATTCTCCACCACCCTTGGGGGCGTCTCCCATTTTGACCTCGGGACTTCCAGGTTATACTCGGCACAGATGTTTCTGTACACTTGGTTATGGCGTTGCATGTATGCCCTGCCTGCTAGCATCTTGCACCCTGCTGTTATGTGCTGGATTGTCTCTGGAGCATCTTTACACAGCCTGCACCTGGGGTCTTGCCTGGTGTGATAGACCCCAGCCTCCATGGATCTTGTGCTCAGAGCTTGTTCTTGTGCTGCCATGATTAGTGCCTCCGTGCTATCTTTCAGTCCAGCTTTGTCCAGCCACTGGTAGGATTTCTGTCAGCCACCTCCTTCATCTGCCGGTGGTACATACCATACAGGGGCCCGTCCTTCCATGATACTTCCTCCTCTTGCTCCTCTTTCTCTGGTTCCTGCTGCCTGATGTATTCACTAAGCACACACAGTTGGGGCCATCTTCCTGATGTACTCATGGATGTTCGTTGTCTCATCCTGGACAGTGGTTCTGACACTCACCAGTCCTCGGCCTCCTTCCTTTTGCTTAGTGTACAGCCTCAGGGATCTGGACTTAGGGTAGAACGATCCATGCCTGATAAGGAAACTTCCTTGTCTTGATGTCAGTGGCTTCTATCACCTCCTTTGGCCAACTTATTATGTCAGCAAGGTACCTGATCACCAGCAGGATATAGGTATTGATTGCCTGCATGTTGTTCTTCCTATTCATCTCACTCCTCCAGACTTGCCTGACCCTCAGCAGAGTCTGACGGTCAGGCCTGTGGGATTGCCAGGTACCTGTAGCTGTCCTTGTTGTCTGCAATGTTGCCTTCTGGTAGTGCAATCGCCCCAGTTCGGACTACCGCCCCTCTCTTTGTTACCATTCAACTACATTTCTCCAGTCCGAATGACGTTCTGATGTCATTGCTGTATATCCTGGTAGTGTGGATCAGTGAATCGATGTCTTGTTCACTCTTGGCATACAGCTTGATGTCATCCATGTACAGGAGGTGGCTGACAACTGCTCCGTTCTGTAGTCGGTATCCGTAGCCAGTCTTGTTAATGATCTCACTGAGGGGGTTCAGGCCTATGCAGAACAGCAGTGGGGACAGAGCATCTCCTTGGTAGATCCCGCACTTGATGGTGACTTGTGCTATGGGCTTGAAGTTGGCCTCTAGTGTTGCCACATCCCCATTGAGTTCCTGATGAAGGCTCTTAGGGTCCTGTTGATCTTATATAGTTCCAGGCACTCCAGGATCCAGCTGTGGGGCATTGAGTCATAGGCCTTCTTGTAATCAATCCAGGCAGTGCACAGGTTGGTCAGCCTGGTCTTGCAGTGTCGGATGCCTGCCCTGTCTACCAGTAGCTGGTGTTTCATTCCTCTGGTATTTTTGCTAATGTGCCCCACTCATGTATTGAGTCATACGTTTCTTCATCTTAGCCGCTATGATGC